TCTGTAGATTTCACTGAAAAGAATTACCAATACCTTTAACTTGTCATCTGCTATTGGTTTTAATCCTTTCATGGAAACATTGTCATTTGTCAGACATTTTGCTATTTACTTGTTAGCCATACAGTGGTGCCTTGCTTAACGATTGCTTTGTTAAACGACGAAACTGCATGACGATGAAATGAGCTGAATGGGAGGAGGGGAAACATATCCTAATTAGAGAAACTAGATATGCCTGTGGAAGGTATTGTTTACAACTTTGAAGGCGAAAAGCATGTTCTGATAATATCTCCTCTTGTTGACTAATGGTACTGAAATTAGGGCCACCTGTGATATCTGATTAGTTACTCTTGCAGAAGTTACCAATTTGGAGGTTAGGGAAAGAACACCATCTAATTGGTGCAAAGGGTTGACCCATCCAGTGAGGTGATGATAGGATATAAGGAGAAGCAAAATAATCATTCAGTTATGCAACTTTGCCCTCCCATCCTGGAATAAAGAGGTGAGACTCAGATATGCAATGAAACAGGGACACACTTTATTAACCATAAAACATATTCAACTTGTGGCCAATCAGAGAGGAGCCTGCTGTAGTGTGGAATGATGCTGGTACGGTAGCAGAAGTCTCACAGGACCCCTTCTTCATGACAATGGGACAGCATCTGCCCTAAGGCTGCACAGTCCAGAAGACAGCGCTACCCCAGCCAGCAAAGATCTGGCCGCCGCTGGGCCTCTAGCCCTTTGTCCTTTGGAGGCTTTTGGTCCATAGGTGGCCCCAGCACCTCCCCCCTGCATCGTAATTTCACTATCCACGGCTCTGAGGATTTGGACATACTACAACTCCCCTGTGCTCCATGGGGAACTCACCAATCCATCCTCATTCTGCACTACCCACCACTGCAGGTGACTAGTCTAGCTATGTCCCTTGCCTGCCACCAAATGTTCAGACTCCAAATACAGCCTCCTCTGAAAAGCATGCAAAAACAACTCCAGTCCTAAATCTGATAAATGAATCCCATCATCTCTGAGCAAATTTGGTTGATCCAATTGTATCTCCTAATGCCCAGTCATGGTGGCGCTGCGGGCTAAACCGCAGAAGCCGGTGCTGCAGGGTCAGAAGACCAAGCAGTCGTAAGATCGAATCCACGCGACGGAGTGAGCTCCCATCGCTTGTCCCAGCTCCCGCTAACCTAGTGGTTCGAAAGCGTGCAAATGCAAGTAGATAAATAGGGACCACCTCAGTGGGAAGGTAACAGCGTTCCGTGTCTAAGACGCACTGGCCAAGTGACCATGGAAGATTGTCTTCGGACAAACGCTGGCTCTATGGCTTGGAAACGGAGATGAGCACCACCCCCTAGAGTCGAATACGACTGGACAAAAATTGTCAAGGGGAACCTTTACCTTTACCTTTATGTCCAGTCATATACCCAACTCTTTGCACACCACCCTGCACACTCCCCAATTTATGCTCCAGTGAGCTTTGTTAATGCAATGCAGAGGACAATCTGCTCTCCAAACCATCCTGGGGATTATGGTGGACCACACAATTTGTGTACCCAGATGTGCCATCTTCCAGGGTAGATTAATTAATTCACTCCCAATCCCTTTTATGGTTATTTGTTCATTTTTCATGATACAGTGGTGCCCTGCATAGCGACATTAATCCGTTCTGGATTAATCGTCGCTATACGGAAACATCGCAATGCGGGAGGGAAAACCCCATAGAAACACATTAAACGAGTTTAATGCAGTTCTATGGGGTGAAAACTCACCGCTATGCAAGGTTTCCTCCATAGGGCCGCCATTTTCACCGCCTTGGTAAGCGAGGGCAGTGCGGGCGGCCATTTTGGAACCGCCGATCAGCTGTGTGAAAATGGGGCCTTTGGGAGGAAAAGCCCTCATTTTCACACAGCTGGCTGGCCGGGGTGCTTCGGAATGATGGTGGGGGGACCCTTCCCCTGCAGCCGCTCCGAAGGGCCTGCCAGCCAGTGGCTCCAAGCGGCGGCGGCGGCGGTAGGGTGTGTGTGTGGGTCCGGAAGGCTTCCAGTGCTTTGCCTAGAAGGCATCCGAACCCCCCTGCCTCCACCACCGGGAGCCGCCCCACTCCACCTATCCCAGCCATGCTCGGACTCCCAGGAGTCACTTCAAGCAGCGGTGGCGGCAGCAGGGGGGGTCGAGAAGGCTTCCAGTGCTTTGCCTGGAAGCCATCCGGATCCACCCTACCCTGCCCCCGCCGCCACCGAGAGCCTTCCAAGCTCTCAAAGGGCTTTCTCCAATGTCGAAGGGGAGCCCTTTGAGAGCTCGGAAGGCAAATGTCGGTGGTCGACGGTGGCTTCGGGGTCCTTCTGAGGCCGCTGCCCACCGCCAACATTTTCCCCCAGCTCAGCGGGAGCCCTGTCGCTCAGCTGGGGGAAAATGCCCCTTCCGAAGGGGAATGCAGGCGGTAGCTTTGGAAGGACCCTTCGGAAGGGTCCTTCCGAGGCAACCACCAGCATTTTCCCCCAGCTGTGCGGCGGGGCTTCGAAGCTCCCAACGCTCAGCTGGGGGAAACTTGGGCTATGGGGAAAAATCGCAAAGCAAAAGCGATCGCAAAATCCGCATCGGTATGCAGATTCGTCGTTAAACAGGGCGCTTGTTAAGCGAGGCACCACTGTATCTCCCTGAGGTACAATATCAGAATGACACAAAGTTACTTGAGAGCATGAGTCTCTCAAAGCTAGATACTTAATATTATTTATATAAATAATTTCTCCAGAGCAACAAAGCAGCTCCTGGTTGCTTTCATTAAAATAGCATTGCACAACATTTGCTAAAGGCAGCAGTTTTTCCTGGCTTTCTGCTCTAGCAATCACTGCACCAGTATCAACTGCCTCAGTGTTCTCTCTCTCTCTGCTGTTGTATACAGTACACTTTCTTGGGCAAACTTCCCACTCCTATTTGCTGACTAAATTCTTTATTCTTTGATGTCTGACACTGAGAAATGAAATGTCCTTTTTTCTCCACACCCATAGCAGTTTTTTTTGTTCAAAGTATGGGGGCTTGAGCTTGTTCTAGCTATTTTTCCAAATATCTGACCAGATTTGCTTCTGAGAATATGATTCCTCAGGGTTTTTTTGGTCAATGCTCTAAATTTCCTTCTGAGGTGCTCAGCATTGATTCCAAATCTTGTGAAAACCAGTTTTCTGAATGCTTCATATTCTTTTGTGGCATCTGAAAATAAATCTCAGCTAGTTCCCCACTTATTTGTGTTCTTAAAATAACCATTTTCTCTTCTCCTTTCACATTATAATCCCAGCATGCTCGTTCAAACAGGATCAAGAACGGTTATGGGCAATCACCCTTTCTAAATTGAAGGAATTTCTTAATGTCCACATTGGAGATCCTCTCCACCGTATTATTACTGTTTTTACAGTTTTGTTGTTGTTTAGTCATTTAGTTGTGTCCGACTCTTTGTGACCCCATGGACCAGAGCACCCTAGGCCCTCCTGTCTTCCACTGCCTCCCAGAGTTTGGTCAAATTCATGTTGGTAGCTGTTACAGTTTAGAGATGCCAATTCTATTTTTTTCATTTCTGATTGTTATTCCGTTTCTTTTGCTCTCATTTCCAGTTGTCTCTTTTCTACTTCAGCTCTTTCTTTTCCCCTTTCCCTTTCAAAATCTAACTCCTTTTGTCTGGCTTCAGCCTCAGTCCTAGTCCTTATTTCTAACTGTTTGGCTTCAGCTTCAGCTTTGAGCTGTAATTGTCTCTCCTCAGTTCTGGCTTTTTCTCTTATCTCTAATTCTTTTAATTTAAATTCCTGCTGCAAACTCCATCTTTCAAATTCTTGGGAGGTTAACCCAGTTTCCCCCTTTGTGGTTTCCTCCTCCTGAGCCTCCTCTTGCTCTATCATTTCAAGAGAGCTCTCCTCTTCGTGAGGTAAACTTTGCACATCAGATACCTCCATCGCTAAATTTTTCCCTCACTTAGAAGGCATATTTCTATGTGTTTCTTTGGACAAGTTGGCTGGTGTTGTTCAGAGGCAGACAGAGAAGCCTCAGATTAAACATTTTTTTTCCTTTTCTGCGTTGGAGCGATCGAAACACTGTAGCTCTCCACTGGCAGCTACGGATGGCTACTTTATTTCTTTAGGCACCTAGCCTCACTGTTCCTGTGTCTGAGACCCTCTTTCTTTTAGCCTCCAGACACCCAGCTGTTTCAGAAATATTTATCTTCTTTAAGCCTCAGTTAGTTTCTGTCGCCTCAGCTATATCTCTTGACCCTGGCTCCCACTTTTGTCTCCTCAGCGCTCCCTTTTCTCAGGCTTCTATATTACTCCAGTAGTGTTAAATTGTATGAGAAAAGTTATCAGTGACAAATGAATGAATGAGCTTTATTACGGTCACTGACGAGCAGATATATCCAGATGTGACTATAATACAAAAATATTGAAAAGTAGTATAAGGTAGCAATATAATATCACATGTACACAGTCTGTTACAATGTAACTAAATTAGATGGAGCCTCCTTAGTTTCACTGGACTGAGGAAGTCTGATATAACCACAGCAGTGGCAAAGTTCTGTGCAGTAGCAGTGAAGTGTCGCTGTTCCCTCCTTGCACCGATCAAGGCGAAGCTAGATGTTTAGTAATGCTTTAGTAATAATGGTCACCCTATATTCTATATGCTACACTGCTTAAGATGATGAGATTGGAGGTGGTACAGAGTTTATTGAATTTATTTACTGAACTCCTCAGTCCAGTGACAAATTGGTTCTAGATTGGGGTGTGTACAACTGGGCTGACAGAATGGGACTTTCCTCACACTCACTTCCCCACGGCAGCTCCTTCAGCTCCCCCGGAATGATACATAGGGTATAAATGGGTAAACTAACAGGGGGTCAAGAGATCCTGGCAAATATGATAGACATTGGTAAAGGGTGAACTGGGCAGCGAAACGACATGTTGATTCATTGGATTATCAAGTGCTGTAGAAAGTGTCTCAAGAAAGTACAGTACTGGACATACCTGGAGGTCTGCTGATATCCTAAATGAATGATGAAGATACTTTTGAAGTTGGCCAAATATACTACAGACCAGGCAGACTTGGAAAGTTATTCAGATAAGGAACAGCTCTGTTTAAGTACTTTACCTGAATAGATGCATAAGAGGCTGCCATGACAGCAGATTCACCCATGTCACTAGGCAGCAGCAACTGTCAAGAGTCCTAATGTTTGTTACAGGCTGGTGATGTATGTGCCTGGAGTGAGTCACAACTAGCATAACTACTGACATCACAAACTACTTTTCTATAGGTATTGACCCTTTTCAACCTTCCCAAGTTGCAAGCCTGTAACATAAATATTAGAACTTGGGACATACGTTGCTGCTAAATGACACAGATGTCATTAGGCAGCTTGACAGAGTTATACTTAATTTTACACACACACACACACAGTTTTCACTCTGAGTTCCCCAGATTTTAGGACCAGGCTTTGAATAATGGGAATAAACTCCAACTTTATGCATGCCTTAATTACATTCCCATTTGATCGATCTGCTGTGAGGAATAAGTCAGCCACATTTTCACTTACTTATGAATTTGAAAGATGTGTATGTGTGTGGGGGAGATAAATGAACTTGCCATGGCAAGAATGCATTGGAAACTAATTATCAATTTTCCTAGGTATCTCTTTTGAGAGCCATGGCCAAGGCAATGATGCCTTTATTTATCTTAACTATCAGTTTCATGTTTTGAGGATATACATATGGTTTAGTGCAGGGGTGGACAATTAATTTCTATAGGGGGACACATGAAAAATCTGAACTGTGTTCGGGGGCCAAACCAACATTACTTAAAAATAAAATGAAACAGTGATGTTATGATTGTTTTTTATTTTAAACTTGTTAATCTTCACAAACACTAAAGAGTTTTTTTCGGTATGTTAAAGATAAGCAACTGATCAATATTAGACAAAAAGCTATAAATGGTTTTGATGTTCAACGTGTTCAGTGAGAGAAATCCAGTCTGTCTTGGGCTTGAACAAGTGCTTGAACACTGGACTGGAGTGACGACCGGCGGGCCAGACAGGAGTGACTCATGGGCCCTATGTGGCTCTCGGGCCGCACTTTTCCCAGGTCTGGCTTAGTGCATTGGAGCACCTGGCTGTGAAGCTAGTTCAAATTTCCAGTATGCATCCTGGGAGAGAAGCTAGCTGAGATCACCTGGTGCATGTGGGATTATGTGCTCTGCCACCTGCACAGCTTTGGGCAAGCTGGCCAGGCTTAAAGCACTATCTGAAAAAGGGACTGGTGTACCACTTCCTAAGTACTTTATACTTAGAAAACCTTGTGAGGGTTGCCATAAGTTGATATTGATTTGACAGGGCAGTATTATTATTAATTACAAAGTAGTTACCTATCATTAACAGTTCCAATTGGGTTGTGCAAATGAAAAGCTGTGGCTTCCTTTATTGAGTCAACCCATCTGATATTAGGCACTGTCTCTTAATTACAATTACACAGGGGTGTACTGAGATCCAAAATGATAGTTTGTCAGTAAAAAACAGTAGGCATAGCCTGTGACATTTCAATGGACCAACATAGTTTGAAATGGATGGACTGATGCCTAGTTCATCAGGTATAACTTTATGTGGGGCTTCAATTTACAAGAGGTTTATGGCATGCACAGTCGCTTAGGCGTAAGTCCAATGAAGACTGCAGTTCTAGGCATGCTTTCTTGGATGTTTAATATCTGAAAGCCATTAAGTGAATCGAGTAAATGAAATATATCACTGCAGAAGAGGAGGTAGCAAATTGCAGCAGCAGCCAGTTGCCTCGCTGCTTTGGCACAATGCTAAAGAACCCCCAACATCCAATCATGTCTGTTTACTTATGAATGAATGTAAGTCATCTGGAAAATGGAGGAAAGCATCCTTGGCAATTGCAGGTAAAAGACATTTCTCATTTAGATGTATCCATAATGTTCTTTTCCAACAAATTGCTTGTCAAGCTTCCTTCAATATAATTAAGCTGAGCTAGTCAGACGAAGTTACAGTTATTTTTCAAAGAGCGCTTGCTGGTTGCCAACTCCTTCACTTAATTTTTCAGGATGGTTAATCACAGTCGCTGGTGGCGTCTTCCACAAGGAGTTTAACTCTGCTTGTCAAAAGCTTGGAATTATTCAATATTCAAAACCTCTGAATTTTTCTGAAGTCATGAAGCTGCTTGCCTTTTCTAATAACATACCTTCATGGTTTTTGTTGTTGTCATCATTGTTCCGACCAGTTAAAGCTAATAGAACATCTTGATTTATGGTTTGGAGGAATCTAGTAGAAAATAATGTCTAGTAGAAAATAACTTTATTTCTGGTGGGGTTTTTTTCCCTGGCCATGTGATCAGTGGGACTGTTCATTTCTCACCAAGGAAGCTTAAAACAAGCACATTTGTTCAAGAAGCTGTTTAATTTGCCTGTGCTCTTTTAGCTTCCTACTGTTGCAGCCACACAATGCATTTCTCTGTCCCTGCCAATCCATGTAGGTGGGTTGCTTGTAATTATCCATGCTGGAATATGGCCAGGAAACTGGTTGGAACATTCTTGATTTCACAAAATGTACAGAGGAAGTTTGAATAAGTCAAGACTGTCAGGGGTCCACTTTCATCATTTGTTCCAAACTATCCCACTAACAACAAAGCTTTCTCACTGTCTTGGATGGGATGAAACGAACTGCACTGCCTCCTGAATTGTCAGTATAATTTTTAGCTTCACAGCGTAATCATCTCTGTACACCATCAATTTTATTTTACTTATAAGCCTTGATGCCATCTATCTGAGAGTTGGGTCTCTTGAATACGCGTTATTTTTTAAACAACAAGTCTATGCATTTTGATCTATATGTTACTTTGCTTGGTTGGAATTACCCTTTGCTACTGTTTTGGTGAAAAACAGCAGCAGAAAAACTGCTTCATTTGGAAAGACTCTCCTGTGGTTGCACTGAACTCTATTTCTGAGTAAGCATACAGAACACAGCAGAGGTGGTGAATGATACAGAATCACAGTCCAATCTGTTAAAAAACTTAGTTGCACGGCACCTCTCTTTAAGTATGTAAAGTTAATATCTTTTTCATAGATTAGATACCCATTTATATCCTGTTGCTATCCCATCGTAGTCTAAAAGATTGTAAATGAGTGTTTTTCCTCCAGATTTTCAAATTTACTTCTGTGATTGTGAGCATGGAAGCAGGCAGCATGAGTTCTCTCAGCAGCCAGGTAGAGATTGTTGACATGTGTATGAAAGCCGGCATGGTTACAATGGTTTGAGTTCTGGTCTAGGATTTGGATAGTGCAGATTTGAGTCTCTAGTGAGCCATGGAACTAATGGATGCAGCCTTTCTCTCACCTCTAGGCCACGTCTACTTCACAGGGTATTTAATGTGGCTAAAAGTGGGCTGAGAGCCATGCATGCCATTGTGAGTTCATTGGGGCAGAAAGAAAGTGGAGTATAAATGTAAGTTGTAAGTAAGTTGACAGGATCAGGTTGCTGGTAAGAGGAAAGACCTCAGAAGGGCCCCCTAGAGAGCTGCTTGCTCATGGCTCTACCAATAGACAAATAGCTTAAGGTTGTTAGTATAAGGTGCCTTATTGTACTCCAGTTATTTCCATGTGCAATAGGCATGCATGTGGCAGCACCACCAGCAGGGAAGGGAAACCGTATTCTAGATGTTAAAATGACTCTTTCTATGAGTTCTCCATTCAATGCTGGTGTTAGAGATCACTGTGAAAAAACTGATGACATATCAATGAGACTGAAGTAGGCAATGAAAAGCTTCCTCTAAGGTGGGAAGAATATGAGGGTATGGTCACACATAGTTCACTGTCACTGGATTTCAATCTCCCCTTTGTTTAGGACATGATTTGAAATGTGGCAGGGGAAGGATGTGCACAATTTGGATATAAGCAAAAGCTTCCAGCTGCCCACATGGGCTTCTGGGCTGCCCCTCTTGTGTGGCATTAATCTCAGCTGAGGGGTGTGTGTGAATCCATGTATTTTGACATCCTCCCATTCCAGATCAGGATGCCAGACTTCAACAATATCTCCTCTGCATCTCCTGGAAGAAGAAACCTTCCAATTAATTTCAAATCACTTGTGACTGGCCCTTTATAGGCTGTGGGTTGTTCTATGGGCATTGATCTGTCTCTTTCCACCTCCCTCCATTGTGTCATTTCCAATAGTCACACAGCAGCTCAAGACACAACATGCCATCGCAGTTAAACATGCCAATTACCTCAGGACATCATTCCTTTTGCTTGGCTGAGGCTAATGGAACAGCTGGATGGAGAACAACAAAAAAGAAGGAGGTCAAGCTGGGTTGAAAGAGTGGTGGGACTGCAGGAGGTGGGATGGGGGAGCAGGCAGTGGGGAGAGGCACTCCTCTTTCCTTTTAGTGTTTCTTCTTATAAAATATTCAGACTGCCATGGTTGAATGGAAGTAATAGCACAGAGTTTAGCTCAAGAAACGAGGCTTTTTGTCTCCTATTCAACTTTACAGAAAAGTGTTATCCTTTTTTTACAAACAACTTCACTGAACAAAGCAAGCAAATCACTTTTCATCATAAAACTTCATCACTTTTCTTCATCGGTCTAGGGACATAAATAAATAAATAGGTGTAGAAATACCTGCAGGGCATTCTTATGTTCTGCTGTACAGTAGCATAAAAACCCAGAATCTGGTGCAAGAGGGATCTGGTGGGTGCAAGGGAATGCACATCACACCGTGTGCTACTTTGGCAGGCAAAACTATCTGCTGCAGATCATCCATCATTAGAGACTGAAATCCATTACTGTTTGAGAATTGTGATTCAGAAGACATTTGCCTCTGAGCAATTATACTGTGTTCATTTCAGAGTTAATTTCCCTCTATAGTGTACTAATTAAACAGGTTCTTCCACAAATCAACATGAGTTGCTGGAGGCAGGATGGATTCAATGTTTGTATACCTTAGAAGTGAATACCACGTGTCCAGGCATATGGGGTGGCTTCTCACTGATAGCCCTTGGAGTTGGTCTCTTAATTTCTCTTTAAGCACAGTATGCTATACATTTGTATGCCACTGAGCAAGAGTTCATTTGTTATAATTTTTCCAA